CGGAGAGAATTCTGGTGTCAATCCCATTTTTCTCCCCTTTTGGTTGGTCCAGCTGGAGGTAGAACCCCAGCCTGAGGGGAGTCGAAGAGGTGCCCCCGCAGTCCCTGGTACCTGCGCGTTGCAGCATCTCCCTCCCGTTCTCTAGATACCTGCGGAGCCACTCTCCATGCTCCCTCTCCAGGTATGCCTGGTAGCGCCTGGCTAATCTCGTGGTTTCCCACTTGCGCCGGGTTATCTGAGCCACTTCGTCCGCGGCCGTCCAGGAGCGCGGGTCCACGTTCAGGTTGGTGTAATCGGCGCCGTCGGAGGCGAACAGCTCATAACCGCGGAGGACGCCCGCATCCTGCTCCACAGCGCGTCCGGAAGTCCACTGGCAGGTGTGAGATCCTGGCCCCGCCCCCGCTGTCAGCCCGGTCTACGTAGTCTAACTCCGGAGCGAGACTGGCCCGCGGTGATTGGTCAGAGCCCGGTTCCGCCTACATTGAAAACAAATTTCGAGTAAATCCCGGCGGGCTCCTGCTGACCTCCGCGTGAATCTCGGACCCAGAAAGTCGGAGAGACTCCAGCTCGTCCAGGGGGATGCGGGTCATCACCTACGACCCGGGCCCGCATTGCTCACCGGACTCGCTCTGGTTGTAGTAGCCACGGGCCATCTGCAGGTTCGATCGGGAAGTCGGTGCATGGACCTTGGCGATCGCGGTCTGAGCTTCCCAAAACTGTGGCTCCTCCAGTTCCGCCCACGGCGCCCGCGGCTCCACCCTCGGACGCGCGGTGTCGCTGTTGAACCGTAGGAACTGTGTGTCGTCCACGAAGCCGACGGAGATGTAGTGGCCTCCCCGCGACCCGGCCGGGACCAGGCGGAGTGGAAATACCTCAGGGATTGGAGCCTTGGGGGCGAGAAGGGTCTGAGACCCAGGCGACCCTTCTCCCGGCATGAGTCCCGGGTCCGAGGTTGTTGGACCAGAAAGGGGGCGGGGGCGATGAGGCTCGAGAGACGGAACAGGGCGGCGGGACAGAGAAGCGCGTGAGGGGAGGGGAGGAAGCGGGGCCGAGGTGGGGGGTCTGGAGTCTGGGCCCGGGACCTAGGAGACGCGCCTGCCTTCCGGATCCTGCGCCTTTCCCCGGCGGTACCCTCTCTCCTACTTCCCAAAGGTCGTTCCCTTCCGACCCCGCACTC